TGTCAAACAGTGCTGATCAGATCTGGATCCAGATTCTGTTGTTGACTATTTCTCTCCTCAAATCTGTTCACAAACACATTTTACTGTTTCTCTGGAATACCAGATCCTGTGTGAGCAGGTGTTCTAAGGTAACAAAGACTAAACGATTTTCATTCTCAGGTGATTATACACTAATGAAACACACCCATTACATTACATATTACATTGATGTTATTAAATTACAGTAATGTTACACACTGACTGAAGCAATCATTATAATATATTTGATTATTTCTACCATCACACACACATGTTATATCATGATATTAAATATATTGATGATATATACACTACTATTACTCATTTATTTTCTGTTGGTGACATACTGTGGCATACATTTACTTTGTATGTATTAGCATACTGTTGTATTTTATTACTAAAAGGTTTACACTTAGGCTCCCATTATATTTCTACTTTTCCTATTTTTCTATTTTCTAGTATTATTTCTATTCTTTAGCATTGTGTGAGCACCTTGAGCAACTGTAACTAACTCAATTCCCCCTGGCAATCAATAATGTATCCATAATGATGTATTGACCCATAACTCTGAATCATCATTTTGTTTCAACTCCACAGACAGAACCAGGAAATGACCCAAACTGGTCATTAGTTAAAATGTTCTTATTAATATTCTAATACTGTTACAATAATATTATTTCAGAATCAGAAATACTTTAAAAATCCCAGGGGGAAATTTCCTACGACTTCTACTTACTACTTACTTATTATTTCCATAAACAGAAAATGGATAATAATCAGTCATTGATCTCACACACACAAGTCCTGATCCTCTGTTCAAAATGTCCCTGTTCTGTTCAGCTCGGTTCGGATCGGTTCAGCTCTGTTCGGATGCTGAAGCTCAGCGCAATCAGAACTGCGCCGGACCGGGTCAGCACCACCGTGACCTGGTTTGTGAAGCCTCCTTATCATCAGACAGACAGACAGACAGACAGACGCTGGTCCGGGTCTCTGAGCTCCAGAGCCGGTCTTACCCCAGCTGCTGGCGGTCCGGCCCATGAACTCTCCAGTTCGCGGATTGTAAAAAAAATCCTTCCATGATTCATTCTTGTCTTCCTTCTTCTCCTCTTTTTTCTCCTCCTTTTTCTCCTCTTTCACCTCCTCCTTCGGCTCTTCTTTCGGCTCCTGGTTCGGCTCCTGCGGGCTGGACATGCTGGCGCAGCGGGTACTACCGGACTGAACAGAGCCGGGCTAATCAACACGCGTTAAATCCGGGTTTAACCGATCCGTCAGAGATCGGAGCTCGTGCTATGGTCTCTCTCTCTCTCTCTCTCTCTCTCTCTCTCTCTCTCGCTCTCACACACACACACACGCAGA